ACCTGCCCTTACCCCGACCCACCAGTTTTCTGCCTGTTTATTTCCATTCTTCTCCGCACCGCAGAGGGGGGAGGGGCGGCCGCGTGGCACTTCTGTTGCCGGCGGCAGCCGAAACCAAAACAAGCTTAAATCAGATGGGAGCTTTGAGAACTGTACTATTTCCTTTCCACATGGCCTTTTAAATTCAGTTAGCTGAGCAAGAGGGATACGAGCTGGTTCAGAACACCTCGCGGCACGCAGAGCAACCTTAAGCCAAACCAACCGAAGCACACCCAGCAGGGGAAGAAGGGCCTAGAAACGTTTTGCCGGACGATTGCACCACTCTCAAGAAGGCAGGTTTTATTTTAAAATCAACAGCCACACAAAAACCTACTCCCGAACAACCACCGCTGTATCCGTGATCCAGGTGAATACGCTGCTGGTTTAATTGCTATACAGGAATACCCAATCACACAGAAGGCAGCTATAACTGCACCGACAGTCCCCAGCGTAGGATGACACCCCTCAGGGTTCAGAAAGCAGTCTTACGGCTAAAGGCTTCACCCAGAACAGCCTCTGCATCCGCAGTGAGTGCACTCAATGATTCTCCCCTGGAAAAGAAACACGAGGAGGGTTTTTCAGCCAAGTGACCTGAGCAGACAGACCAGAGAAAGGCGCTGTGGGGGAAGGGTTGCTGCCCTCTGCTTTGTTGTTGTTTCCTGTACTTTAACGACTTTAAATGACCGCATGCCAAAGCTGACAGTAACTCTAGAACCAACTAGATGCCAACTCTACCAGCAAAGACAGAAAATGCTAGAACTAGGGGAAATTACCCGAAGGGACAGCACTGCCTCCTCCGCTGTCCCTGACCCCAGAGGAGTCAGACCGGGTGCCGCAAGGGCCTGGGCCAGCCGAGGACCAAGCTGCAAACCCTTACCACTTCCAGTTTGCTTTTGGGGACCCTGCAGATGCAGTTGGTTCCGAAGTTGGTGTCCCGCGTCTGGATGCAGCGCAGGCAGCAGAGGTTCTCGTAGCCCTGTTTCTTCCACTTTGCGATCAGGTTTTTGTCAGCGTAGCCCTCCTTGATGCAGTACTCGTAGAGCTCTGCAGAGGAGCAGACACCATCACCAGTAGCTCTCAGGAAGGGCCAGAAGACTCACTATCGGGGATTACTAGCTGTAGTAACTAGCAGCGAAAGCCAGGCAGCCGCCAGCCTTCCCTCCATCGTCCCTCCCCAGAAACCCGATCGATCCCACCAGCTTCCCCCATTCCGTTTGCCCCAGCCCGGGGTAACACGTTTGCACCCCTCACCTCTGCTGATAGCTTTTCTTTTATAGAAGAGATCGAAGATGTAACGTGTCTTCTGGTGATGAATTCTGAAGATAGGCCAGAGGGATTCCACTTTCCTCTTCCCTTCGTGAGGCTCGGTCTCCGCTGGGAGGGAACACAAACACCAGGTTCCAGCTGACGGTTTCAGGCAGAACAACTTATTTCCTTAGTCACTTCGCAATAAACCGCCCCAAGAACTTTGATACATTACAGAGACAAGACTGAGCTTAAAGGAAGAAGATTCAAATGGAAGGGACCTGACCTGGAACCGGTCCTTTAGGAAATGAAAACAGAATGACAGTGGGGATGGCGTGACCCACATGGGGACAGCAGGTGACTTCACGGCTGCCCTGCCTCGTCAGACCAGAGCAACAGCACGGACAAGAACTACCCGTCCCTCCACGCACACCAGTGCGTTCAGCCAGGGCTCAGCTGTGGCGTGCCCTACAACAGCTGTACAGCGACCTGCTGCGCTCTGCGACCAGGCACACCCAGGGAAAAGCGACCGGTGCTGGCCCAGGCGCAGTCTGAGGTGTCACTGCAGGTGGATATAAGGAAAAGTCAATCCATACTCGTGGGGGCAACTGTGCTCCCCGAGATAGCTGAGGATCACAGAATCCCAGCATAGCAGGGATTGGAAGGGACCTCTGTGGGTCAACCAGTCCAACCCCTGCCCAAGCAGGGTCACCCAGAGCAGGCTGCACAGCACCACGTCCAGGCAGGGCTTGAATATCTCCAGAGAAGGAGACTCCACAGCCTCCCTGGGCAGCCTGGGCCAGGGCTCCGTCACCCTCAGAGGGAA